ATCTTGAGTCTCAATTAAACTTTGCCAAATAAAAGAGGGGTTATTTCCGGGTCTAGCTTTTAAAAAAGTGCTTTTTGCATAGTATCTAGCCTTATAAACCCTTCCCACGAGAGAATCGGGATTAGAAAAAATCTTCCAAGCTTGCTTGGAGAGCATGGCTAAGTTAAACTCTCAGAGTCGTCTAAAACCCATGCCCCAAGCAGATTTTGGCTTGCAAAGGAAGTTCCAATCTTTCCACCGAATTCCTTTCCCGGATTTCCCTTCCACCAGTAACCGTTCATAATAATTTCAATCTCCCGACACAATTCTATCGGTAACAAAAAGACATTCATGGCATAGGTCGGCATAGCCTGAATAACAGCCTTCAAAAGAACTTCTCCACCTGCCTTGGATAAAAAATTATTATTCCAATTATTAATACGATTAATCACCCGCTGTCGAATGTAGCCCAAAATTTCTTTTTTACTCCTTCCCACTAAAGCCGGCAAACCCAAATATTTTTCATCATCTCCCGTTAGCCCCACTCCAAGCAACTCAACGAGCCCTTCTCGATAGCTATCCACCACATTAGCACTAAAAAGTAAAAACTATCTTTGATTTATTAAAATTAATTACCTGGCCCGAGGCCCTCTCGTAGTCATAAAGTGTCTCCTTAATCAAAGATGCTTCATCATGTGTGGCTCTAAAAAATAATAGGCTGTCATCTGCAAAAAACAAATGAGAAATCATCGGTGCCCCTTGGGCAATTGACACCCCATGTAACTGTCCCATAGTTTCATATCTAACATTTCTATTTATTACCCCTTATTAGATTTCACATATAATATGTTTATAAGAGTGATTCTAAAGTTTAATGAACTTTTTCTTCGCAAAAAATAGTTTATCTAACATCCGCCTTTCATACCTAAGTTCCTCATTTTTGCGCCTAGACTTACACGCCTTTTCACACCTTTGATGGTCATTTCTTTAGATGATAACTTTTTCGACGCCTTTCTACTATGTGAGATAGCCCTTTTCCCGTCGCCTCACACCTAAGCGTGCCTAGACCCCACGTTTTAGAACACTGAGTGTATGGTGTACGTAGAAAGTATGAGTACATTTAACGGGTGTTTGAAACTGATTCTACTTCTTTATTAAATGTAGAAATACAATCACAATCACTTTTTTCAAAGTTGGTCATCTCCTATTTGTAAAAACTGCTTCTAGAAACAATTTAACCACTTAGAAGCAACTTATGCACTTCCACTCAAACACCTCGATATCTATTTTTCTCGTTGAAGGAGTAGAAGCATTTTTAAAGAGTACACCCACACACTAGTAAAGATTAATGATGATTTCCCTTTTTAAAATGCGGAAATCTATACAACTCACAAGGGCGGCTGTGGGGGTGGTGGCTGCAAACCCACATAACTATGAAAGGCCTCCAATCAAAAGTTATATTTGATTTAAAAAGTTTTCTTTTGGACTGAATTTGGCTGGTCTGATCTGAACTGGTCTGGTCTGATAAATGTCTGATTTCTGAATATTTTAAAACTCTCCAAGTCTGGTCTGGTCTGGCCTGATCTATTAAATCTGGTTTGGTCTAATCCGATCTGTTTAAGTCTGGACTGATATAGTGGGACTTAATTAGTCCTGTCGCATTTTAAACGAATTACATATGTATATAGACGACATAGGAGTTTTGTGTACAATTGTGTGCAACTATGTACACTCAGAGTTTTCCTAAAGGAAAACATTCGCTGTTGGTGATTTGTATTGGATGTTCTCTATAAGAACCATTTTTAAGATTGTGTGATTGAAGGAGGTCCTTGGCAGTTTGAGCGTAATCTGTTATTGGTAAAAGAAGTTAAACCTAATCTAATTTGTTTGAATTTGTCTAGATCGAAATCAGTTCAATTAAAATCATTCTAAATATCATTCACAACCTAAATCTAGTCATGTAACTTATATGGCCGTAATGCGGAATCAGCATGGTGCTGATGGAGTTTTAAGAGGTGGGGTCCTCCGCCTTTGAAATTAGTCAAACAAATAAAAAAAAAGGAGATAATTAGTTTACTAGAATTAAAAATGTTACATATTCAAATATATAATTCAATATAGTGTCATACCGGATCGAAATTTGGTCTAATCTCGGATCGAAAACATCTCAATTAAAAACATCCTAGATATTGTCATACCGTAGTTAGTGGAGAGCGAATTAATTGAAATCACAAATTCTTTATTGGAGGGAAAGTGGCAAAGTTAGTGGGACATCCAAAAAAGGAAAGTTGGCAAATTTCAAGGGACGGAGGGTGTAGTTGTTTGATGGTGGGTAAAAAGTGTAATCCTGTAGGAATTTGAGTATGTTGCACAGATAATTACGTTACTTTTTAGAAACTGTGATTTACGCAAAATTTTAGGAAATATTTTTTTTTAAAACAAGAACTTTAGGAAATATTATAATTTTTTTTAAGAAGAGGAGTGCTTTTAAAAAAATACACTTTAAATGTCCTACATCGTAATGATAGTGACAGAAAAGTGGGTGGTGCGCCTAGCACCATATGCAGGGGCGTGATTGCTCATCAAGGATATCGTTGTTCAGACAAAAAATGGGTGCGCCTAGTGATGTGTGTTTTCTCGCACTTAAAATAGATCGTAATATAGTGGTGTAAGTACGAGTATCGTCTCCACAAGGACGGACAAAAGGGAATTAAGAATTAACTAAATTTAGCGATTAAAAATAAATAAATAAAAAATGCGTCGTGCGAGATATGATTGGGTTGGAAAATTAAACTAATGCGAATGAGCAATTAAAATAAAAGATTGGTTTCTTCTTAATTAACGACGAAGGGAACAGGGATTGATTCCGGGGTAACCAGATTTCTGGCAGAACAGACCTAAATACATGAAATTGATTTAATTGAGCCTAGCTAATCATTACTAAGTTCTTACCGCTCTCGCGGCGTAGAGTACAATAATTTAGAGGACCAGGTTGATCTCTCATGCGACATGATCCTAAATTATTGCCAAAACGAGCGAGCTTACGGCCCCTTAATCATTATTAATCTCTTAGCGAACGATTAAGTGTGTGTGAATGTGTTCTAGAATAAATTAGATCTCTCTTAATTTATTCTACAAACAATTGTAATTCTAGCCGCGGTTCCAGGTTACAAAAGATATCAATTAAATTATTCAAACACAAATTAAACGACATTCATGCAATTAACCCATCAAGAATCTAGCCATACATCATCATCAACCCCTTCATCAATCCCAAATCCCTAATTAAAACTACTCACAATTCATAATTGAAGAATTAATAGAATTGGAATAAAAAGAATTAATTGTCATTAATTAAAAAGGTGAAACTTACAAAGAATCCCAAAAGATTGATGAACAAGGCTGAAAAGCCCTCTAAAATTCATGCTAGGCACTCTCTCTAAGCTCGTCACGTCAAAATATGGGTATGGGGGTCTTATTTACAGAAAACAGATGAGTTTGAGCTGAGCTGGGACTAAAAAAGGGCTGAAATCCGCGTTTCGAAGGTGCGCACGATCGTGCGTACCTTGCCACGCACGATCGTGCGTACGTGGCAGTGGCTCTCTTGTTTTCTCGCCTCAGACGCACGATCGTGCGTTCCCCTACGCACGGCGTGCGTCAAACTTCCGAATTTGACAAAACTTCATTCATGAAAGTTGTCGATAATGAAGTCCTCTATCCACCCCAATTTGCCGAATGTGATTTGAATCATCCAATCAAGAGATATGATCAAAACGGTGGAAGGTGTCTTTCTGAAATCGCAGCAGAGATCATCTGACTTCATCGTCTGTTCTCACCTTCTTCCTCTCAGATTCTCGCAAAGGTGGCTTCATATGATTTGTAGCCCTTGAGGTTAGCTTTCATATAAAACTTGAATCGTGTCCATTGGTTTTTTCTACAAAGAGATATGCTTGAACGATTGACAGAAGGTCATCCTGATCGTCGTTTTCAAGCTTCATTCATCTTGTTTTGATCCCGAAGCCAATCCTAGAGCTCTTTTGTCATCAAATCTTCATCGTAAACCTCCCGGTGACCTCCATAGCTCTCAAATCAATCTCAAATGCTTCTCAAATCATCCCGATTTCTCCTCAAGCGCCGATGTCGAACTCTAAAATCTTGATTTTGACTCCAAATGACACAAAACTCGAACCAACGCCTGTTAAACATAATTTGAGCTAAAATTGAGACTTGTAACACCTTAAAGCTAGGAAAATCATCAAAATCCGATCTCAACACGCATCAAATGCGTGTCTAAATACGGACTTATCACCTAGTAAAATTGGTGGCGCGCGGAACATGACCTGTTATCAAAATATTCTCTCCCGTTCTTAATTAAATTCCTAGTTTGACTTCACACATATTAAGAAATAAATTTGACTTTACTGTGGAGTGCACTGTTTGAACACTGTTTGACACTGTTTTTGTGTAAATCATTTGCCAAATAAGGAAAGGTTTGAAGTAGGAACTTTAATATGGACCATCCCAAAAAGGAAAGTAGGAACTTAATTACGGGACGGAGGGAGTATCAAATTTAAGCTTATTTCTGCAAAAAAAAAAAATGAACTGAGTATTAGGAGGTGTTTGGATCTGATTCTTAAACCGCTTCTACTTCTTCAAGCAGAAGAAGTAGAAGTTGGAGTGTTTGGGTGAAAGTGCAGAAATGATTGTGATATCTAATTTACTCCTAAAATCAGTTTTTTTCTAAATAGGGACCAACTCTAAGGGTTGGTTTGCAACTGCTTTTAAAAAAGCACTTCTCAGTTTTTTGCTTTAAAAAAACACTTATTTTTCCAAACACTACAACTTTTATTTTTCTCAGCTTTCGCGTTAAAAGTGCTTTTACTTTTTCTATTACACAAAAAACACTTATTTTACTAAACACTACCCACTTTTACTTTTCAAAATCACTTTTTTTCTCAAACACTATCAACTTTTATTTAATCACTTCTTCTCATTTAATTAAAAAGCACTTTTTAAAAAATAGAAGCTGTTCCCATTTCCTGTTTAGACGAATGGTTTCCTTCCGTTTTTCATTTCACATTTTTCAAAATTTAGCAAGTTTTGCCAACGTGTGGTAGGATTTCTGATCACTCCGTCGGTCGGAAGTAACAAATGGAAGCAAACGAAAGTTTCAAAGAGAAAGCAGAAAATGAGGAGGAGTTGGAAGAAGAGATATGGAGTTGGGGGGCAGGCACAGAGGGTCAGTTGGGAACGGGGAGGCTCTTAGACGAGCACCACCCTCAGTTGCTCCGTTCTCTCTCCTCATTGGGCCCAGTCTCTCTTCTCGCTTGCGGCGGCGCTCATGTCATAGCTCTCATCTCAGGTCTCTTTCCTTCTATCTTCTTTCATGGAACTGTTCAGGTTGTACTCAATTACTTATCTGTTTTCCCACCTTTATCTGTGCTCTTGTTACCCAAAATACAATTCTTAAATAAAAACTAGTAAACTACTGAGCTGGATAGAGTGGCAATTGTCTCAATTTCAAGAACTGAAACCTAACTCAAATTTTGAATAGTGATCAGAATAAAGTTGAAGTTTGTGATCCCGTTATAAGGTTTAAAATGGCTATAGTGTGGCTGAATCCCACTTGATGGACCGTATTGCTCATCATCATCATTATCTCAGTGCCGCAAAGGCTCCCACACCTTCGGTGGGGTATGGGGTCGGATGTACGCAGTCTTACCCTTGTACGCATAGAGAGACTATTTCCGGATGACCCATAGTGAAAATCGCATGGACTGACTGCGGCTTCATAACAAAGAAGCGCATACAGTTTAGTAAGCCATTTTGCTTTATTCCATCATATTCCAAGCCAAAAATATATTGAGTCTTTGGCTCCATTGCAAATGATGGAAAAATATTGAGTCTTTGAGTTATTGACCGAATTGCTGAATTACTAAAAAAGATATCCTAAATAGAGTATATATTACTCCCTCTATATTAAAAAGATAAAGAAAACAAATACTCCACATATGGGTAAAAGGATGAAGTAATCATCTTAATCAGCTTAAGTCATTTTAGCCAAAAAAATACCCCCAACCTTGTTATGTTTTATTATTGACCACTTCAAACCTTAATTTTCTCACTTTTATCGTAAAGTAAAACAAAAATTGTTCTTAGTAGACATATCACATATTGACATATATGACTGGTAAGCTGGTAAATGAGGATACCACGCGGCCATTAACAGTTAAGCATTTGCAGGTGGAAGAGTGGTGACATGGGGTAGGGGTACATCAGGGCAATTAGGCCATAGGGAAGCTGTTTCCAGTGTGCAGCCTATGGTTGTGGAAGATTTGGTAGCCTTTGATATTACATATATTTCTGCTGGTTGGAATCACTCCGGTTTTGTTTCAGGTTTATTTGTTCTCCTCTTCTCTTATAAAAAATTATTCATTCGAGTTTTCTTTTTGTTTAAGTCATTGAGGTGTTCTTTAAGTACACACACACATATGGAGTTACTGTACTTTTTAGTTTTTGTGAAAGCAAACCTCCTCAGGTTTATCTTTGCCTTTTCCTCTGCATTTCATTGTATGAGAGAATTCATATTTTCCATGTTGGTTGGGTTTTTTATTTAATTCTAGAGAGTGGTCAACTCTTCATGTGTGGAGATGGTACGTTTGGGCAGCTTGGTCTTGGTGATTATATATCCCACTCTTCTCCTGTAGAAGTGCCATTTTTTAGCTCTAGACATGTCAAGCACATTGCTTGTGGTATGCGCCATTCGATTGCTTTGGTTGAAGGTAAAATTTTGTCAGCTGAATAATTAACTTTTGTGAATTCACATTTTTTCTGATTACATTTTCACACTACCATTTCCCTTGTGATATTTTATTATTGTTCTGCTATTTTTTAAAAAAAATATTCAGATTTTTTAAAAAAGTCATAAAATTATCAACATCTTCTCAAATTTCTTAAATTTCACTATATTGGGGTACTCATGGAAACAACCTCTGTACTCCTTGGATGGAGATAAAGTCTGAAGATCTCACCATCCGCTGTCCGTACTTTTAAGTGGCACATACTGGGTATGTTTGGTTTTTGGTTTTTGTTTTTTACACTATCCATAAGCAGACCATATCTTTTTATTTGTATTTAAAAGTGGCTCATTTCTATTGTAAAACACTTGACTCATGAACTGAAAAAGGGGTTAATGCAGGTAATATGGGAAGTCGTGTTTATGGATTTGGGTCTGGAAAACGTGGCCAGCTGGGTATATCTGATGACAAAGTAAAATCAGTAAGCGTTCCTCTTGTTACTTTGGGCTTGGAAAATCTCAGAATTAACAGCATTATTGCAAATGGAGACCATAGTGGAGCTATATGTAGTAAGTGTTTGAAGTTGAATATTTTGTTGAATAAAAAAACAAATTTTTATGTAGGTTATGAAGCAAACTTTAAATTTCAGTCATTAGCTAATGTAATGCTCTAATTTTTATGCAACTTTTTCTTAATCTCGCACTGTCCATTTGTGTCTTTTCATATCTTGATTTTCAATTATTTCTTTCTTGTTAGCTGATGGACATTTCTATAGATGGGGAAGAGGCTTCGGTGGGGACCCAGATAATTACATGCCCAAACGTATTGCAGCAAGCCCATCATTCAGTAGCGCTTCTATAGGGTGGAATCATGCTCTATTGTTAACAGGTAACTGCTACAGTTACCTTGAAATGATTAATAACCTTCTAACATGTTGATGTGAGCACAAAAGATAAGTTGCACTACTATTACATGCTGCTAACAGTCTTTATGCATTTACTTATCTAGATATTTTTTAAAATGATTTGCAGGTGATGGACAAGTGTTCATGATTGGCGGTTATAACTATGGTGCTTCGAGTAGCCAAAAAACACAGTTGATAGCGAAAACACTTAAAGATGCAGGTGAAGCCCCCATTTTTATTGTAAATCAATCCATTAGAAGAAGTGTAATCAATAAAAAAGGAACCTAATCTTTTTGTCAGGTGTCTTGCTATGTGGCATACAAAGTCCTAGCAATATAGGGCTAAAGTAATTGTAAATAAAATCTTATGAAATTTGTGGTCCTTCTGCGAATTCGGAAAATGCTAGAGAAAGTAAACAGGGAGGGAAAAGTAGAGGAAATTTAGAAGGAAATAAAATATCGTGGAGAATAATAAACTGCTTCAATTATACTCCCTCCGTCCCTAAATAAACTTCCAATTTTCCTTTTTCGTCCGTCCCAATTAAAACTTCCACTTTCCCTTTTTGACAAAGAATTTGTGGTTCACAGCAATTCTTACACATTTCTCTCTCCTCTGCACAACTCTCCACCACACAATACCCACTATCTTAAACTGTGTGCCAAACCTATTTGGAAGTTTTATTAGGGACGGAGGGAGTACTACGTATATTTTTTTCAAACTCATTTCAATTTAAGTATTTCAGTTATATAAGAGTATAAGGCTACAAAATCGAAGCATATGTCAATCTTTAAAAAAAAATCAAATTTGGTTTTCTAAGGTAAAACTAAATATCAGAAAACCATTTTCTTTAGTTCTTTCCTTCTTTCCCTACCACATTCCAAGTTCCAAACATAGCCTTAAAATAAATCTTTATCATGCATTAATGGTTCTAGTATAAATCGGCTTTTAAATACATACATTTGCAGGAAATGAAGAAATTGCACAGAAGGTTGATGCTCTTGTTGGGGTAAAGGTTTTCCAAATTTCAGCAGGAGCTGAGCACTCGGCCTTGGTAACAGGCAAGTTTCTTCATGTTGAAAATGAGAAGTCACTCCTCTGCATTTTTATAATGATCTGACACACTGCTTGTATAACGTGCTCCGTTTTTTGTCTTTTCTACATTTTGTGTTATAATGTGTGTCATTTAATATATACACAGATGATGGATCAGTGATGACGTGGGGATGGGGGGAACATGGTCAACTTGGCTTGGGAGATACAAATGATCAAGCTAGTCCTCAAGTGGTGAGTACAAATAATAATATGTATAAGCATGTAAAAAAGCCATTTGTTGTTGAAGTTTACTGTGGCAGTGGTTTCACCTTTGTCATTAAGAGGCACATGCTTGAAAGTGTTGGTCAATTATCGGATAAATGTTGAATGTGGTAGCTACATCTCTAGCCTTCACTTATATCATTGTGTGTGAGTTTTACATTGTATGTTGTATTTTTTGCCTCAAACTTTTTTAGTAATATATTTATTGGTCAAATGAAGACGGCTCTTATAAAACTTAGAAATTTAGTCTATAAAAGTTTTAAAACGTGAGTTTAGCTTTCCAACGGCGAAAAAGGGACTCAATATCCTGTACTTGATAAGATCATATCTAACAGTTTGTCTGTATGGAATCAACAGAATTGACTTTATATATTATGGTCATATCTTTAAAACATTGTAATTTATAACTAAATTTGATTCAACAACAAAGTGACATTATTTGTTGAATCTGCATTTGATCAATACTGAGATCTTTTTTGCTACTCCCTCCGTCCCGCTAGAAGATTCTTGTTATAGGTTCCCGTTACATATTCAGAAACTACATTAAAACTGCTACAAAGCCTGATAAAAAAATGTAAATTTGATAAAAGTTTGATATATAAAGCAAAAAATTAAAAATGATTTAAGTTGACCATATGAATAGTGGACGGGAGCCTTCTAGTGGGACGGAGGTAGTATTTAAAAGGGTTCTATTTTTTGCTTTGTAAACTACTGTATTTGTTGTTGGTGAATGACATGGTATATTTCTTACGGAGTATATTCGAAGCCAAGTTTGTGAGCAAGTTTGTTTACTATGTTAGGCTCACAATATTGTGTCAACTGTAGAAAGGTTATCCAATGCTTGCAGTACCAAATTTCTCAATGTTTTGCTATAAGCTGAAATTCCTTGGCAAATTCCACCAGAAATCATGAAAGTTCTAAAATTGATATTGCAGTAACAATATTGCCAATAACATTTTAAATCATTAGGGGATGCTTATCTCATAAAATATGACATTACTCCACTTTCAAAATAGGTTACAGTTACAAAATAATACAAGAGTCCCGCTTCATGTACACGCCGGGTTACACGCCGGTCAAATTGTCTGTGTACAGACAATTTGACCGGCTACACAGACAATTTGACCGGCGTTCTATAAAGAAAATCGATTTTCACACAGACAAAAAGTAAAGAGTTGTCTGTATCACATACATTTTAGACCAGAGTTTTTCATAAAGTGCCTGTCATATAGACAATTTTTTTATTTTTGTATGTGTGAAAATCAGTTTTTTCATAAAACGCCGGTCAAATTGTCTGTGTAGCCGGTCAAATTGTCTGCACACAGACAATTTGACCGGCGTGTAAAACTTGGAGTGTACAAAAGGAATTTTCCATAATACAAGCGCAATAGTTGCGGCAGGGTTTTTTGGATAGGGATACTTTGTATGTTATAGACTCAAACTAAACAAAATGCGCAAACCAAACACAAAAGTCAATACTACAACAAGAAATTGTCATTTGTTATTGAGCTTTCACCCTTTGTAACATAATTTGTAATGGACCCTTTCACTCTTTGGACAACCTATTAAATCTAGGCTTCAATATGTTTTAAACCTTGTAAATTTAAAAAATGTGTTTTAGATTTTGTAAACAAAAAAAGTAATCCATGTAATTTATGCTATTTTTCAAAAACTCTCTTTAGATATCGCTTGCATTACTTCACTCCAAACTTTGCATGTCAACTTTTTATAAATTTGTGAGTATTATAAGTAGAACTAATGACAACTTGACAAGTTAAATTAATTTTAATATATCTTTTGATTGAATGGAGCCAAAGAATCACTGTTTTTGGCTTGGGAATATGATGGAATAAAGCAAAATGGTTTTCTAAACTGTCCGCGCTACTTTGTTATGAAGCATCAGTCAGTCCATGCAATTTTCGGCATGACTTTTACTATGAGTCATCCGAAAACAGACTCTTTGTGATTTAGTATAGGGTAAGACTACATACATCCGACCCCCCTTACCCCACCGTAAGTATTTTAAAAATAAAATGACATGAAACAACAAGGCGGACACTTATAAGCTGTTCTCTTCACCTGATCTGAATGTTTCTGATATGAATTTTTTGATAGAGACCTCACCAGTACAGAACAATTACAGTAGGCAAGAAACAAACTCAAGCAACAGAAATTCTCATTAATGGAGGAAAACCGTACAAGAGTCCCAATGAGCCGAAGCCCCCCACTAAGCCGGAGCCCCCCAAAAGAAAGAGATAGTTCTTGATCTTCCCAAAGTCCCAAATGACAAAGTCTAAAACAGCCTCCTTTCACTTCTCCCAGTTTATTCATTAGGCCCAATTCCTAACAATCTATTAGGCCCAATTCCTAACAATTTTTAAGTTCTGATATGATCTGATCTGAACATGATCTGAATGTTTTATTGTCCATACCTTTTTATTATGAAATTTTGAAAGTAGAGATTTTCCAAAATATTATGTTAAAAGAAATGAGAACTTGCAAATAGAAGCTTTAGAAGATGAGGACCAAGTTTGTTGATATTAAACTACTATAAATGTTGCTAAAAGATACGGAATTTCTTATACTGTGGGAATCAAAGGGTGTATAAACTTGTGAACTTTTATTTTAAAGTACTAAAGACATTGAAGTTGATGAGGTTATTATGGTCGATGTATTCTGACCCCTCCCGGAGGGGAGATGTTGGGAATCTAAGGTTGTTTGGTTTTATTTAGTTTGTTGAAGTTAATAAGAGGCACATGAATTTGGTTGTATCAGTCTTTTATTTGTCATTTACACTACTAAATTGGTAGTTTTATAAGAAATGGTCATTTCATTGAATAGAAATTTAGACTTTGTATTACATCATTATTTCACCACTGGCTCGTGTAGTGTGTGATAGAAACAGTTCAACTAGAGCATGTAAAGAGGCAATATCTGGATCAATTGAGAGATTGTAGTTGTAGATGTATCTTATACTGTAATTGATGGATCAGGGGATTCCATTGGATTTGGTCCTGAAGGTACCATTCTTTTCTCCCCCTCTTTCACAATCCAATAAAGTTGGTGACTATTAGACACATCTGTCGAAGTCAATGATGATACTGGCGGTCCAGTCGGGTTTGGATCGGATGGAACTTTCCCCTTTACATTCTCCTTCATAACCCAATATGGTATCCTTAAACTGGCTGGTGGTTCCATCGGGTTTGGGCCGTTAGGCACTGATCTTTTCTCGTCTATTGAAATGAATGGTGATAGGGGAGGTTCAGTCTCATTTGGACCTTTTGGAACACTCCTCTTTATATCATCCTTCATAACCCAATATGGTATCTGTAAACTGGCTGGTGGTTCCATCGGGTTTGGGCCGTTAGGCACTGATCTTTTCTCATCTATTGAAATGAATGGTGATAGGGGAGGTTCAGTCTCATCTGGACCTTTGGGCACCATTCTTTTCATATTGGTTGGAGGCAATGGTGGGAGTGGTGATTGCATTTGGTTCGGACCGGATGGAGCTTCCCTCTTCACATCATCTCGGCTCACCCCCTCCTTGATTAGCCAATAGGGGTGGGGAATGATATGGCGGAAACTACTGTACATATGATTTGGGTGATGGTTTTGGTTATTGGATTCTGACGAAATAGTTAGGAAGAGAAGTGAGAGTATCAACATATGGAGTTGATATCCTAATGTTATGTTTAAGACCCAAGAAGGATAGATCTTCATAGTGTTGTTTTTGATAAGTAAATGTGACTCTGGTGATAAACAATGGAGTGGTCTCCCCTATATATATACTCAGAGATTTAAATGAATGTGGTCATGTTTTTCTTTGAATTGTTCGATTTGAATGCACAAAATGTTATATATTGATGATAGTTCCTTATAAAAATGATTATTGTTTTCTATTGGTTTTCAGCAATACATTTGTTATTAAAATGGGGAAATTACTAATATCGGAAATGAGCCGAGTAAGTGTCAGGATTCAAGTGATTATCATTTGTTACCTGTTTTAAAGATTTAATTAATTAATCTGATCATCACTTACCTTTTGTTGATACATCGGAAAGGATCTGATCATCAGTTACTATGACTTGTAACTTACATTTTTTTGGATGACTTGTAACTGATCAATTGCATATAACTTGCATAATTTCATCAATAATATACGGAGTAATAATTAGTGTATAATCATGATAGAGAACCTTAATTTTTTTGAATTTGAATCGGCCGAGAATAAATACTAATTCTTATGAGTCCTTTTTATTTTGATTCCCAAACGAAACAATCATTTCCAAATTTATTATTCAATAAATAAAATAACCTTAATAAGAACGATAACATCATAGCTGCAAACTGCCTGCAATCGATTAGTATCAAATTTATTATTTTCATTTAGATTTTTGGATAAATGAACTGATCATATCTATATTGGTTAATATATAAAGCATACATTTCCTTATTTATAATAAAAATAATATGTAGTATTGTTTAGTATAATAAAGGTATTCTTTTGATTTTGTTAAGATGATTATTTCATATTTGAACAAAAATAGTAACTACAAGTCTATAACTAGTCGGTATCCAAATTATTCTTTCAACTACAATTTTAATAAAATATGACCATTACTATTTTAATCTCAATAAATAAAACTATATTTTTATTGGTAAAAGTAATAACATTTGGGTTTTTTACAAAAATATAACTAAAATAAAAGACATTTACAAAATATGACTAATAGTTACTATGACTTCCTTATTACTTTAGTCACTAGTCATATTTTTGTAAACAATTTTTATTTTAGTCATAAATACTTCATCCGGTCCCAAAGTAATTTAACACTTTCCTTTTTGGGTGGGTTCAATATAAACTTCACACTTCTATTTTTGGAAATTTTTTAATATAAAGTTACCCTTAAACTCTTACTTTATTACCTACTTTATACTGGCATTCTCTCAGTCACTACACTTTATCTACTTTTTGGGGGCATAATTAGAAAGACAAAACAAAAAAAATCACTTTCTTAAAAATTGTAAAATCAACTATGAAGTTCTTTTGGGACCGGAGGGAGTATGTAATTATTTCTAAACTTTTTTATCGTAATAAAAGTAATGATATGTTTATTGTAAAAAGTAATAATATACTCCGTAATTACTACATTTGTTAGGATGTTTTTACTTGAACTGTAATTTGCTGGTCTGATCTGGTCTGCTTAAGTCTGGTATGATCTGAACTAGTCTGGTCTGGTCTAGTAAACGTCTGGTTTTTGTGAATTTTTGAAGATAACTGTACGTTAAACGGCGTAGTATATTTCAGAAAATCATTTGACTACCTTTCCAGTTGAATTTTTACCTTAAATTTGGTATGAGTAAACTAGACTTAATGAATAAGATGCTCAAAAAATTCATCAAAATTTTTTACCGAGAACCGCACCAAATGGCGACGGCCGGACAAAACCTCCTATATAAGGGGTGATTTGCACTTTTTATGTAAGCTCAACTGCTCAAGAGCTTATTTTGGTAGTTATCCCAATAATTTATTTTGTCAAAAAAAAAAAATAGAAAATTCAAAGCACTACATTGAAGTACTAATGAGTTGATTACATATTTATGTACATAGTTATTTCAAAATAAGTCCTTAGAGTTGATGAAATTCAACACTTTGAAATGCAACACTTTGAAATGCAACACTAAACACAACATATACACATTATAAAATCACTTTTATACATAATACTTATAAACACATTATAAAATCACTTTTGGAATAAGTCATTGAAATTCAACACTTTGAAATGCAAACTAAACACAACATACACACATTATAAAATCACTTTTTTACATAATATACTTATTCATATTGAGTCTAGCCCTAGTGAATCTGAAATTGATGAAATTCTTTTGAAAACGGCTAAATTTCCTAAATTATGAAAAAATATCTTCCAGTACTACTATGGCAGTAATACGACAACTATTTTGGCAATAATAGTTGTCATGTTACTTCTATCTCAGGAAGATATTGTCATGTTCTTCTATCTCAAGAAGATAAACATAACAATCATATTTTGGAATTCCAAAATATGTCTACTCCAGTTTAATAAAATAAAGAAAAACTTCTATGAAAATAGCTAAAATCATCATCTACAGTAATTTCACCAATTCAGCTGGAAAGGCAATTTCAATCTTACTTATTTGAATTATTACACAATTTAACACGCCAAATCAAAAGTTTTGATAAAAAATAGTTGGCTGATAAAAAGAGTATAAGACTAATAAGATGGAAATAGAAGTGACCAAATGGACTCCAATTTTCTAAAGGGAAAATGGAAACTAATAATCCAAAATATTATCTTTGTGAAAGGTGGAATTTATGGTATAATAGTTTGCAGAGATAAGAAAATAACTCGGAATAGCAGGTCATCAACCGGTCGGGGACCAATGAATGAAGATGGGGTGCAAAGGTTGAATTATTCATGAATAACGAAAAGGTCGGACTATTAAAATAATAGAAGACCGCTAAAAGATTGAATTATTAGTTTCCCTTTTCTAAAAGAAATAATTACATAAATATGACCAAAATAAAGATGATTTACTAAAGTATGATTAGTGACTAGAGTAGTAATGAAATCATAATAATTCATGTTCAAGTTTTGAGCTTTAGTTACCACAACACTATATTGTAGTAATGAATAGTTATATTTATGTAAGTATGTTTTATTTAAAAATGCCAAACAAGGTACACCAAAAGCGACCAAGTATCTTTTCTCAGGAGGATTATAGACCGAAAGAAAAAAGTAGAACTAATGCATTTATGCATCCATCTTTGAGCATAAAACAAAGATGACGAAATGAAGATAGTGGTAATTTTTCTATTATTTCTCCATTCTTTTCCTTAACTAAACTTCCTCAAACCAAATAAAACATAATCATTCATCATCCCCTCCTCCGTAATCACCCCCTTTCCTTTCCTGCATAACCCCTTTGTCGACCCAACCACTTTCGCTTATGTGAAGGTGATGTAAGATTATCTCATAATCACATAACTTGAACCAAACAAATTGATGACAAAAGAAGTAAATAAAGATTCATGAGTTACATGTTAGTCTCATCTACTCTGAGCTAGACGCCTTTCAAAAGTAATACAATATAGTTTACTAGATGAATCAGAAATTTCACACCTCTTCTACTAAAATGTACATACACGAGAAAGACACGCTATACCAGCAGGCAACGTTCCCATACATCAGCTATTAATCTTGAAACTACTCCGTGAGACCGTGACTAAGGACTTCAGTGCCTGAAGCCTCTATCCTAGTAGTATATACATATGTACAGAAGAATGTTATTAGATCAGCTCGTCAACAGTTAACATGTTTGCTTCACATCACCTAAGAAAGTTTATATGACGAAATTGCAGAGTGAAAGTTGGATAGTGGATACACTGTCTAAGTCCTCAGAAAAAAAAAATCACCCTCCAATGCACATCAAGGGTTCACGTGATAAAAAGGAGATTGTTTTCATGTCCATGGTTGTGAACGATAGGGCGTAAAGGATCAACTCTCCATTTCCCATCTACAATGAACTTAATCTGAATTGAAATGTAGTATTATTGCTTAATATTCAAAACCGAAAAAGGGGTGTATATTGTTGAATAACAGCAATAGTGATGATGGGGTGGGCCTACCTCGTATCTGCCAGGATACAACATCAATGTCAACGAAAAAATGCCAGCACTTGATTTCTCCATCTTTCTCTGCACCACTTCAATTATTATGAAATTAAATAATGTAGGCATTTCATTTTCCTAGTTAGCGTTGCACCCATATCATGGAATGAATCAAACACATTGCACTTAACTTCTCATCCAAATAAAAACAAACATTGCTTCTTCCATGTGACTCTAACAGACATATCTAAATTGTGCTAAAAACTTCTCATGTGTTTAGCGAAACAAAAGACATGAACACTTCATAAAATAAGTCCTAAAACAAAGTATCATAATAGATCCAAATAAGTCCTGTTACTATCTTTGAATCATCGCTTAGGTCCATGTACTTAAATAAGTGTCATATTCATCATTCATTTCGCTACTCGTAAAAAAATGGTCATTTAAACCAAGTGAGCTGAAGGTTTCCTGACTTAGTAGGTTATTCGCTTATGTTGCAATTTTTTCAGTTTTATTTTCCTTTCTTTTACTTTCAGTCTCTTCTTTCTCAGTCCATTCCTTGATCAACCGCATGCTTCCATCTTTATTTTCTTCTTTCTTGGTCCATTCTTGGTCTTGTGGGAATAAGGCTTGGATGTTGTTGTTGTTGGTCCGTTTCTTGGTCAACCCGCATGCCTCCATCTTCACTTTCTCTTCTTTCTTTTTCTTGCTATAAGTCTCTCCTAAAAAGAAGATGTTGGCTAGCTGTAGATATTGAAATAATACTTTCGCTATAATTTATAGTGCAGACTGCAGACATGCTGGCCGGATTTTATGTTGCCAATCATTTGGCATCACTATGCATTCCCGCTTTCTTTTCGGTGGATTCCCGGAGATTGACGGGCTGTTGGGTGTATTTTAATTTCAGTGAAACTGACTCTTCCTCTTTAAATAGGTAGAACCGGTAGAACCAATACCGGTGTCCGACAGAGACAATGAAAAATGCTTCATCGCTCTGGCAATGTCGCCCAATTGGTCTATCTCTTCCTCTGTTGTTTCCTCTTTTGTTTTTTTCTTTATTTTTCCTTCTTTCCTATAATTCTTTTTGCAAAAAATTGATGTCTACATACGGTGGATAAATTTTCTTTTGTTTTGCAGTATAGAAGATATGTAATACACACACACACATACACACTGATATATTAGGTTAGGAGAAGGGGAAGAACGAGCAAAAAGAAAAAGGAAAAAAAGAAAAGAAAAGAGAAAATAAAAAATAAAAGGAAGGGAAAACTGTCAAATAGGTCCTCGAACTTTCATAAAAAAGTCAATTGAGTCCTTCTATAGGAGACTCTGTCCGGTCGTCGCGATTTGGGGCGGTTCTCGGCAGAATTTTTTGATGAAATTTTTTGAGCATCTTATTCATCAAGTCTAGTTTACTCATACCAAATTTCAGCTAAAAATTTAGTTGGGAACGCATTCAAATTAATTCGAGAACGCAAAAATGCGCAGTTATCTTCAAGAATTAATTTGAATGTGTTCCCGATTGAATTTTTAGCTGAAATTTGGTATGAGTAAACTAGACTTGGTGAATAAGATGCTCTAAAAATTTCATCAAAAAATTCTACCGGGAACCGCCCCAAATCGCGATGACCGGACAGAGTCTCCTATAGAAGGACTCAATTGACTTTTTTATGAAAGTTCGAGGACCTATTTGACAGTTTGATAAAAGCCACATGAATAAAATGAGTTGACCTGAATTTAGTTAAAATTACACATTGTGAGTTTACCGAATTGAACAGGTAACTTACAGTTCATTTTGGGTGTAAAGGATTGTTTTCAACTAACAGATGAATATGACACTTATTTAAGTACATGAACCTAAGTGATGATTTGTAGATAGTAAAAGGGCTCATTTGACCATTTCCCAATATATAAATGGCCATAATCTATTTCTACGGTTTTGGCTACTGTACCTACTGCTTAACCACCACTACTACTAACAGTACTAAGTTAGTGGGGCAAAACAAAACCTTAGATGTCCAGCTGTCAAAAGACCCTGCTACAAGAACTTCTGAGGCAGAATTAGGCCAGACAATATGGACGGTACGCAGAAGCTGCATGGCTATATGAACGCTATCAATTCTACTCTGTTTCTTTTCCATCGTCTTTCGTGCATCACTGGACAAGAATAGTGTGCACTTACTAATTAGAAGAATGCATCCACAGTAAGCAATGAAATGTAATGGTTTCGTACATACCTAGCTGACAAAGCCATTTTCCCTTCTAATACATTTAGCTTTGCACGTATTGAGCGCAATATATTCTGGGCATACATCAACTGATTTTCATTGAACTCCAATGCATCTGAAAGCTTTTCCAGATCACTGTGAGAACAGCTCATAACCTGAGAACAATAAGTGTGAAATAACTTGAAAAGAATACTGGACAACTTGTCTGGATTCATGTTAACTGTTTAACTTGTTATTACCAACATTGGTTGTCATTCATAAACATAAACATCTTGACCCTTGGTTCTTTTTCAAATTTTCAAAGACGCCCTTTTTAGCCTTTATTTAATGTCTATGTAATATTCGTATTTAATCTTAATGATGTGTACTCTGGATTGGAATAATGTGGAATTATGTATTGCAAAGTGTAAAATTGTGTTTACAGTGTTACAGTGAAATTCTAATCTCATCCCTCTCATATCCAGAACAGATCTGGCTTCAACTTTTTACAAACAGTCCTAGAACCCAATCCCCCCACCACACACCACCACCCTCATCCCCCACCCCTAACAAAGGAGCATCCAAGAAATTGAAGAAACAAATAAACCATGCATGTGATTTCTTCACTTCAATAAAACAAATTAGGATTAGTTCCATTTTCTAAAGATTTAAGAGAAAGGCAAGTGAACTGCTCTGGACTTCTATACCTGAATTAGTAAGAAAAGAGCATGTGCTCAATTAGCTTATTATCATGACAAGCAACTTAGAGCTTACTATTTAGTTCTGTACAAAGAGCAACTTTAAAAATAAATGCATTTCAAAAAAGAAGCATCAATCGTCTAATAATTAGTCATATACTCCATTTAATAATTAGTTAAAAATCAGTACATTTCATGGGCTATGGCCTATGAGAATCATATCTGCTCTACCTCATTTGAACTGAACTCCTCGTTCCTGAATTTCATGAACTCAAGTGCTGAATTAAGCTCAACTTCTAGGTTCCTAAGGGAAGCTCTTATGTCATTTTGAGTGACACCGTTCTGTCTCAGTAAATCTTCTACACCTTTTTCATTTACAACAGCTGTATCGTCTTTATTTCTGTGACCAAACTTAATCTCATCGGCTGCATGTTGAAGCAGTAAGCACATTGAACAAATTAAATAAAAAAGAGAGAAGAAAATACTGATTTAGATATTCATAATTCATATCAGGTTACAATAGAAAATAATTAGATAAGTAAGGAGTAGAAAAGAAATACGTTCAAATTCAGTGTCGTGAAATCCAGCACGCCGAGAACTCCAAGTTCTCCATGAATCTGATACAAATGTGCCGGTGTCTTCTAGATTACTACTTCCTTTATATTATATCACACAATAGGTAAAATATCACAGAAATGTTAACTATGTCTACTGGGATAATGTAATAAATAAAATGGATATTTGTGAGAAAAAGAAAATAACCAAATACTAGTAATATATAATTATATATTATGCCACAGCAACTAACATCAATCACAACATAATGGTCACTGTGAGCACAACTTACCCACATCAGTGGTCATGATATTCATATCATCCCCGGCAGTCTTGCTTAATGGCCATTTTCCATTCCCAGATTTTTCCGGATAGATACTGAAAGATGATTGTCTATGTTTCTCTAATCGTCTCAATATGCCCTCAATTCCACTCTCCTCCTCTGCTTCTGCTTTTCTGAGCCAAAGGGGAAACACTTTCAGTTTAAATTGTCATACCAAAAACCTTAGCATTGCATAGATAAGAACGAGGAATGAAGAACAAAACCAATAGATTAAAGAAGCCTAGAGATTTCTTTTTTTATTTAGATTTCTAAAACTTTTTGGCAAGCAACAAGTCAATGGTTAAATATATTTGACCAATTATCAATTATTACAGAGAGGCTGTGCAGGATATTGACAAAAACAGCATCTAGTTTTTCATAACGAATTGAAATTAAATTTGTTTGAACCTCAGGTTTTTTTAAGGTCCTAAGTAGGAAGCTCACAATGATCTACCAGAAGAAGATACACTTTCAGAAGAAACGTTAGAACCAAGAGAGTCTACTTCAATGTCCACAAAAGCACCACTATGCCGACAAATATCGACCCTTCTTGCAAACTCCTCCATATCGAAATCAATCTCAAGCCCCTCATTGTTACCATCATTATCAGAATCCCAACCAAGGGAAAACCACCCGCCTCTCCTCTTAATATCCTCAACCAAATCAAACCTACCCGCATCCTCCAGCTCTTTCCTAGTTGGGAACGACCCTGACTTCTTGGAATTCTGCATGAACTCCAAGATTCTGGCCTCCAGCTCGGCGTCCCCTCCAGTGCTCGCCGAACCCCCATAACACAAACAACGAGAATCACTTACATCCCTCCCCCACCCCCTCCCGCGCCTCCTCGGATCAAGAAACCCATAAAGCCCCTTCCTTTTCGTCCCCGAAAAGCTTGTTAATGTGGGACAGCTGAGTTTCAGGCCGCGGAGTTTCAGCGGAGCGGGACTGAACGAGGAATTCATTTTCACGGGAAGAAATAAATGTGTTGGGGTCCTGACGAGGGAAACCATCGCAAAGGCATTTCGTCGAGCACACGGAGAGCGGTTGGGGCGGATATGGAAGGAATGCTTCAACGGAAAAGTGGAGAACAAGAAGCCGGGGAGCCGGGCTGTGAAGCAACGAACAATTTTCTACTGAAAAGCGTGTTGCATTAAAAGTCCTGTAAAGGTGTATTCCGTAATCGCTTTAAAGATCCAATTTTGATTTTTGTCATATGGATTGAACTATTCCCGGCACTACATTTTTTTATGGGTGTAGACGTGTAGTTAGGTGTACACAAAAGTGAAAAGTTGTACACTTATCTGTCTCCCACAAACAAGTTATCTGTCCGGAAATGAGTTGTCTATGGACAGACAAGTGTACAACTTTTGTGTACAACTTTTGTGTATACCAATCTTTTTTTCTTTTTTTATAAGGAAAATGGGCAAAAACATCCTCAAGTTGCCCCCAAGGGAGATATATACCCATAAACTTAATTTTTGGGCAAAAAACTCTAACTAGGGGTGGGCAAACGGGTCTTGGAACCGCGGTCCGGTCCGAGTAATGACGGTTCGGGTCCAAAACGGGCCGGTTCCATTTTTTGTTGCCATAAAACGGTCCGGGTAGGGTCGGGTAATTTTCTTTAAAGAACCGGACCGGTTCCAAAATTAAAAAAAAATGGATACCCGACCCGGGCCATTATATATATTGTATATTAATTTATTAATAGTTTTGTGATAATCGTTTTTGAAATAGTTTTGTTTCCTTTGCTAGAAGTAGGATTTTAAATTGAGTTGGAGTAACATCCTTTTGTTTTCAAATTATTGATTAAATTTTTCATAAATATCTTATTACTTTTTATTGTTATTGAGTTATTCCTTTCTATGGAATTTAATTATTTGTTAAAAGTGATTTTGGTATATTTTTTTTATAATATTGTTCTTAAATATATAAATTGTGTTTACCACCCACCATGTATGTGTCAACTTTGGCTAATACTGAAAATTTAATATAAAAACAAGCAATCACTTTAATATATGATGTTAGACAACATGTTTAAATACAAATGTTAGGAAATATGTATTTTGGCTATGTTGCATATTTTTGGAATTTCATTAATTGTTTGAAACTTATATACATGAAATTATGGAGTATTGGACTTGTCGCTTGTGTTACATGTGCACCACTATGTTGTTATTTTGAAACTTGCTAATGTCCTATATTATTGATTATTGATTTTTGGAACTTCGTGAGTTTTTACTAATTTTAAGACATGAGAATAGAAACCGTAAAACCCGGACCGGACCGACCCGTTTCAAATGGGTCGGGTAAGGTCCGGTTCCTATTTTGAAAATTGAAATACCCGGACCGGACCGAACCGTACAATGGAACCGGCGGTTCCATTTTATTTTGCATTACCCGGCCCGACCCGACCCGACCCGTGCCTAGCCCTAACTCTAACTAACCAAAAAAGAGAGCAAAAAAGGCCTTTAACTAACGGAAAAATTATGGAAAGGCAAGCCTTTTACAACTGTCCAAGTACAAACTCTCGCTGCAGCTTCTCTTGAAGGCTGGCGCAGAGCACAACCAGCAGCAAAAGGCAAGGAACCAGCAGCTTTGGATGTTTCCAGGTGGAGAAAACCAGATACAGATAGAATTAAAATAAACACAGATGCTGCTATAAACCGCGGTGCAGGAATGGTTGGCCTGGGTTGGGTTGCTCGAGACAGTACAGGAGCTTTTCTAGCCGGGGCTGCTATTCCTCGAAAAGGTGTGTGCTTACCGAAAGAGGCGGAGGCTCTCTCTATGAGAGAGGCGCTAAGCTGGATTAAGGCAGCGGGTTGGGACCAAGTTGACGTGGAATCTGACGCCTTACATTTGGTTGAAGGAGTTCACTCGGCTTCAACTGAGTCTTCTTTTGGATTATTGGTAAACGACATCAAGGAGGTAGCGACTAGTTTTTCTAGTATTACTTTCTCCCACGTGAAGCGGTCAGCGAATCGGGTGGCCCATCATATGGCACGGGCAGCCGTTTCTATGTCTGATAGCTGTTTATGGCAACACTTTCCTCCTGGTTGTATTTCCCTGTACTTGAACTCTGATCTGATTAATAATAATTAGCATTTATTTCTGCAAAAAAAAAACTAACGGAACATGCAACCCTTAAAACGCTCACGTGGCCAAATCTCTTTTGGCAACAAAGGGAAAAATGGAACATTCTAAATTAATTTATCTCTATTGGCCAAATACAGAGAGCCTATATAGTACACCCGGGTGTACGTACATCCGGTCCAATTATTAAATATGATTGGTGGGCTCCCAGCAAATCGCGGCCTCAGCTTAAAAAAAATTAAGAACCACAGCGGGATTCGATCCCGTGACCCAAAGTAGGATATTCGACCTTTCAACCATCTCACTAACTTGTCTTGTTGAAATAATTGGTTCATTTATCTTACTTATCCTATATAGTTTCATACCGCGTATTATTATAGTAATTATAATATTAACTATTCTTTTGCTTTTGCTCATTATTACTATATTAAAAGACTAATTCATATTTTTGAAGTATTTATTTGATCTATGAATCATACTATTACTTTATATAAATATGTTTATAATTTTTTTATATAGTGTTAGTGAGATGCAAATCACGACTTCTGGAGAATGAGTAATAATGAACTTTTAGTGAGCACCAGACCTATTCTGTTGAGCATACTGAATACACAAATTGATATTTAAGCGTATTCGAGATTTTAAATGAGCTTTTAAATTTTTTCTATGCTCATTTCGTAAATTTTAAAATGAGCATTACACGAGACAACTTAAATGTCATATCCATGCATATTGGCGTAATGCTCATTTTGAACTTTTTGATACTCATTTCACGTTTTATATATTCACATTTAATATTTGAGCATCAAACATCCGCTATTGAGATGAAATTCACGGTTTCTAGTGAATGAGCAATAATAAACGTTTAATGAGCATCATATCCATTCTATTGAGTATTAGGAGTCTAATATTGAGAATTGTGATCTCCACTTCATAACTTCTAATTCACTTTCTTTTTGTTATTTTTTCTTTTATAAAATCTTATTAAATTATATATATTTATAATCAACTCCTGTGAATTTCAATATGTGAATTAATGTAAAATAGTACTTTAAAAAATGCATCGATATGACATTTAGACAATGAGCATAAGATCTCTACCAGATGAGCATACGTAACATACAAAATGAGTATTAATGAATTTGTTAGTTGCTTTGTTATTTAAAATCAGCATAACAAATGTACTAAATGGACATACATAACTTACTAAATGAGTTCAAGATAACGATTTTAATTGAGCATCACACATCCTCTATTGAGATGAAATTCACGGTTTCTGCTAAATGAGCATTAATGAACTTTTAATGAGCAACAGACCTATTATGTTGAGTATTGTTGAGCAGCATAAATTCTTCTTCATAACTGCTGTTTCACTTTCTTTTTCTTATTTTTTCTTTTATATAATTTTTTAAAATTATATCTATAATAGATTCATATGAATTCAAATATACGAATCTAATTTAATATTAAACTTTTGGAATATGCATCAAGACATTTCATTGAGCATCAAACATCTGCTATTGAGATGAAAATCGCGATTTGTCCGGAATGAGCATTAATGCAAGTTTGGTGAGCATCATGCCTATTGTTTTGAGTAATAGGAGGCTAGGAGCCTAAAATGAGTATCGTGAAATCTGCTTCAAATTTTCTAATGTAATTTTTTTATTTGTTTAAAAAAGATTTCTGAAATTATGTCTATAATCGATTTCAATTTAAAACAATGTGCGAATTTAATGTAGTATAATAATTTTAAAATATGCAATATTGATATGGAATTTTAAAATGAGCATACCATTACTACCAAATGAGCATACATAACTTACGAAATGAGTGTCAAAAAATTTAAAAACGCATTTTTGTGTGCTCATTCATTTTGGACGTTACACTCATTTGAATTTAACATAAAACTCATTTCTATTGTGCTCAATATGTCTTCAATATTCATTTGTGTATTGATATGACATTTTAAAATGAGCATAAAACGAATATTAAATGAGCATACGTAAATTACAAAATGAGATATAGCAAAACAAAACATTAATATCTAAAATATTTTATAATTGAATAAAGATTAAAAAAATTAAGAAAAAGAAAGAAAAGAAGGAAAAACATAAAAGCAAGAAAAGAAGAACAAGAAAGACAAAAGAGAAAAACGTTCCCACACCAGTAGTCAATTGACCAACGCTGCACCGAGCAACAAACATCTCCGGAACCATGGGGGGCATTCGAGCAGAAAGAAGAAGAAGCGCAGGCAAGAGGATGATACGCCAACTTCTTCTTCTTCACCATCACAAACTTCATCAGAATCGTCTGACTCGGAAATCGATCGGCACAGACAGACGGAAACGGCGATGACCTAGGAGAAGGAATAGGGACAGTGCAGCGGACGATGGACTGGGAGAAGTTCATAATAATTTCAAAAATACCCGGATGTACGGTGAGGACCGTACATCCGGGTGTACGGTATAATTTGCCCCAAATACACGCTAGAATAATTCCTTGGGTTCAGATCTAGGATACTATTTTCATATAAAAAATCAATTTTATAATGTTTAATTTTTAATTACTTGATTATCAGTATTTGATATTGTAAAATATCAAGCACTATTAAACATTACTTCCCTCCCAAAAAACTTTGTCATATTTAAGAGCCCGTTTGGTGATCATGTTTTCCGACTTATCAGGCTTATCAGTCAATGTTTTCACCAAACACGTAACTTTTGATTTCGTGTGCTGAATTGTGTAATAATAAGAGAAAGTAAGGTTGTAGTTACTTTTATGCCTGTATTGATTGAAGTTACTATATATGATCATTTTAGTCGTTTTTCACATACATAGTTTTTTCTTTATATTTATAAATAAAATATATTTTAAATATAATTTTTTCATAAATCAGTAGAATCAGTCCATCCAGCCATTTCAGGCATAACTTCATAAATTTCAGCAGAATAAGCCAATAAAGTCGATTTGGGTATTACCAAACAGTCTCTAAAACTTTGACCAAGTATATATTTTAATTGAAAATTACTTATAAGATAAAAATGATACGAACATGTTTTTTTTATTAAAAATACTTTCATAATAGTAAAATATATAACTTCCATAATACTCCGTATTATATACATCAAAATCATGACCCAAATTTTATGAATGCCAAAGTTTTTTAGGCGGATATAGTCCCAGACACATTAATTACACAATTCTCAGACAATGTAAAGTGAATTCAAAAGAGCGAGTTCCTCAAATATGACTAAAATATGGGCTAAATGCAAAATAGAACTCCAATGTTTTAAGTTTTCTAAGTAATTCGCCGTTGGTCGTCGTCACCTCCACTGGACTGCCCCACCACCAATGAGCTGCCCCGGTTATGCAATAAAATTAGAGGTAATTAATTGATTAATTAGACTTAGGGAATTAAAGGTAAAAAGTTACTACCAAGCACCTTGTGGTTCGATGGCATCACTGTAACACTACCAAGGAGAATGTCACAGGTTCGAAACGCATCCCAGTCAAGAATGTTGACATTTAACATTGAAGTATTAAACAGGTACTAAAATGAGACTGGAAAGTCCAACAAAAAAAGGTAGAAAGTTATTGTTTAGTCCTATTTACAGAAGATTTAGATTTTTCTCCTATTTGTGCAATTATGTTTACGTTTAATCCCGCTTAGGATAATTTCCCAATTCAAAGTACAAATACTTGTGTGACTTTAAAATTACACAATTCATTTAATTTAGACTTTTTTAAAAACAATTTATAAAACAAGTAAAAAATTAAATTATTTTAGCATTAGAACAAATATCAATTATCTACCAGAACTAGCAAATAATGTTAAAATCTAAAAAAAAAGGAGGCAGACTACAATTCCCGTCAATCAGGCAACTGAAGAATGGGCAGGAGGATCCAGAAGAGATGGAAGCAAGAGAATTCCATCAGCTGAAGTTTTATTACTTTTGCATTTTTTATTTCAGACTAAATGTGTTTGTTGTTTTTGTGTCGCACAATAAGGGAGGTGGGTATGCGTGCTGCTCTTTGTTTGTGGGTAGAAAACTTGTTGGAGGCGATTAGTTTTCGGCGATTGGTCTCGCTTTCATCGAGGGTGGACTACTCAATGTCTGATCGATCATGACGTGAGGGGGTCGATGGGCTTTTGATTTGGGTAGGATAGAGGGAGATTTAGATCTTAGGGTATGGTTGTTGACTTGTTGCTACGTTTTGGTTGATTCTAATATAAGCTATTTATTTCCAAAAAATCAAATAGCTAATTTATTTATTAAATCCTAGCAAAGAAACAAGTGAACGAATAGCCTAATGCTACAATGATATGAAACTTTGAATGGAAAAGAACACATTAATCATTCCGTATCTCTGACTCCGCAATAATGTTGTTTAGTCTAACAAATTTACTGCACTTCCTACCCCAAATAAAAAATAAAACATTATAAACAAAAAATTTGGCTTCACTAGCAATTGAAAAGAGAGAATTGATGATATGACCAGCAACCAACAAATGAAACCCTACCGAGCGGAAATTGTATGAATCATCAGTTTGATCAGCAACCAAAAAGGAGATCCAGCTAGACGTTTTTTTTTTCAAAGAGGGGCAGTGGTTCAGGTGGAGGGTGAGTAATTGAAGCCTCAGAACAACAATATTGACAAAGCTTTGCCAAACATGAAGAATGAAAATTCACCAGATCGATTCCACAGATGAGAAGCACACATTCTCTGGACACTGCTAGGAGAAAAACATAGCGCACGCTCACCTGAAGCGGACAAAACTCTCGATCAAAGATGATGCCGGACAAAAACTATCAAAAGTAGAAATTAAAAAAGAGTGAAAACATAGAAAATTATAGGGAAAGTTCCCGAAATAGGACTAAAACAGTTTGGAAATTCCAAAATAGGA